TATCGCACCTGGGTTTGTCTATTTAAAGGGGACCTATCATGCAAAATGCACTTTTGTACGTCTTTTATACTTGAATATGTGTCCCCGGTGTGTCAGGGAACTCACCAAGTGTAAGAAAACACAACCCTCTCTCTTTTCCTCCATACCCAAATCTCTAAAAACGGGGCTGCAACGGAGCTGATTATTATTTGAATTTTTCTGACGTCAGAAAAGGGGTGCTCCGCCTATATGGGCAACTCTCCACCTATCAGGGGAATGAGAGACCGCTCGAAAGCGCTGGAGACGCTGTAGTACATATGCCAGGCCTGTAGGTGGCGCTGTAGTCTGCCACAAGAGCAGAATCAGCCCTTCCAAAAAAAGGGCTGGAAAAGAGCAAATATTTGGCATTTTGAAAAAAAAACTTGACAGACATGTTTTATATAGGTATGGCCCTACAATATATGTTTCAAATATAGCATAATAGGTCCACTTTAACATAGCATCAGATAGACACAGAAAGCACTAACTTCTGCTGTTATTAATGTTTTCCTGCACAGCTCAGCACTTTCCATCCCCTGGAATGACTATAAACGAGCGATTCACCATGTACCAAAGACGAGCTGCAGAGAAGGAATTGATGAAGCCAAGAAAAAGCCCAGAGATACACAGGTAGAGTCGCCTATTGAGTGACCCTCTCACCTTCAGTGTGCTGTGGCTTCACCCCCTCTTTTAACAGCTTTCAGGTATTCCTCTCACCTTTCCTACCTGAAAATCAACACACTATCTTTGCTTTTGTTTTTCGTATGCTTGGTGGAGGTCCGTTTTTTTCACCCAATTTTTTTTTTTTCTTTGTCTGTTTGTGTCGTCCCTGCAGTTCAATGTCGCCAAGTTTGTCCTTTTGGCCCCTATACCATAGATCCTGTATTATGTGCATTCAATTATCTTGTCTGAATTGTTTTTCTTTCTCACAGGAGAATTGACGTTTCACCAAGAGCTTTTAAGAAACACTCTCAACTTTTTGAGGCGATGAAAAGCTCAGAGGATGGCACTTACAAGGTGACTGAATATTTTGCAGTATGAATTATGTTGGAAAAGCAAACAACAGCAAACGAATGAGCAAGCCAGATGCCTTTAGACTGCACTCTCTGAAAGCCTGTGGCCTTCCTTGAGGGAGATGCACAGTCTATGAAATGCAAATGCAAAATAAGGCGCTTTGACTTTGTTGTTTGTTATATGTCACCTTCACACATGGTGAATTGCTTAGACTGTGGGCAAAAGCCTGACCAAGGCTAATGAATCATATAAGTTCAGAAATGGAAGTCACTGTGCCAAAGCTGTTCAAAGGACTCTAAGAAATTGACTTCGTAAGTATTCTTTAAAAACATTAGGAACGGAAATGACCGACAGCAAGCACCTTTATGCAACTGTGTTTACATTTACATGCCTAACTTTCTGAGTAAACCCTCACAGTATTTCTTTATTGACGAGCATGGACACTTATGGTCGAGCATTTGTAAACATGAGGGGTGAAAACTACTAAAACATTGAACCTCAATTAGCATGAACAGGCCTATCTTCCCCATTGTTAAAGCACCATACTAGTCGTTTTGCCATAACTCAACTAGGAAGTGTGTACACTTTTAAATGAGTGTGATGATACATTTGAAGTGACTTGAATCTTGTTTGAAATAGGCAATACATCACCGTGAACATTCATTGCTTTTAAAAGAATTGGTTTTAAAATACCTGAAAGAACCATGTCTGTGATGCTCTGATGTTCAAAATACGGGAAATGGAAGTCATGTTATACATGGAAGACAAAGAAGCAAGGATAATGTGAAACAATGCTGGACCATGTGTTGCTGTAGTGCATCAGATTCTTGGAGTGGAGCCTTGGATTCTGGACTTTCCCACGAGCATAAATGCACCAGTAAGGAGGATTTACAAATATACCCTTCTGACCAGCTGACCATGCAACCCCTTGACTTTAACACAAAATAAAGCTGACTGAATATTGACGGTGATGAATTGCCTATCTGAAGCAAATCTAAGTATTATGAAGTTGATTTTTTTACGAAGTTAAAACAACTGCTGTGAAGGCAGAAGATCTATCCGAAACATTTGCTTTGAAGAATGGTTCAGATTTTAAGGAAATACTCGACATGCAAAAAAATCCCCTCCAGAATGGCTTGGTTTTATTCATGCCAGCTGGCTGTTACCAAGGTTACAACC